GTTTTTATGAGAGTATAACATTATAACATGATATAAAACTCAAAAAAGTTTATTTTACATGATATTGCCCCTTTAAAAATATAATATTATGGAGGTCAAGAAGCTGCAAAACTTTTGGGTGCACCAAACTGAAAAAAGGGTAACTGGTACAAAAAGTTAGTCTGAGAGCTCAGAATATAAAAACCTGCTGCTGGAACCAGACAAATAAAAACAGGGAAGGTATAGCAAGAAGATATGCTGACATCTGCTACTATACACTTTGTTTTGTATTTTTATTTTCCAAAAAAAGGGGGGCAATGTTATACTGGCAAGTCTATCTCCCAACATTTTCCAGAAAAGACTGCTGACAAGTGCACCTTGTTTCTGTGAAGTAAAAAAAATAAATAAAAAAGGCACTGGAGTCTGATTTGTATCGACATCCTGTCAACTACACTCGTACCAAGCTTGGGAGGAAGAAAAATTAATCCAAATTGTGTCGAGTAAACAAGCAGTTCAGTTATTGTGGATGTAAGGAGATGAAGAAAAGTAAACGCGAGTGCGCTCCGGCTCCGACCAGGAGACAACGAAGTGTAGTAATGTTTAATGAGCACCTCCACGGGCTGGTGACACCATCCTTACCTGCCAGGACCTTTGCAGCAGCCAATTAAACATCAAGCAGAGCTGACATCGGGATAAATTAGACCTGCTGTTGATGATTTATACATTCGTTATTATGGAGCTGCCAGCACATCAGTCCTTGAGCTGGAATGTGATCAAACATCCTCACTTTCCTCTCCACGCAGCTTTTGGAGGGGACTTCGACTGTGAGTGTAAGGGGGACTCCACCTGCTAAATTATTTACAGGAAGCCCACATGCATCTGTGACTTTCAGCAGAGCAGACTGTTGTTCTTCCTTTTCCCCAATTAGTCTTTTCTCTTCCTCTCATTAATTTCTTTTTATCCACTCTCTGCCATTTCCTGTTTCTTCTGCTATTCTCTGACACGTCTACATGTTCTATTTCTTCTACATCTTTTTTTCTATTCCAATATTTTTCCTCCCCTCTCTTTGTACTACTTTTTCACTATTTTTTCCTAGCACGTCTCCAAGTCTGCTCCCGTGTCTCCCCCTCTCTTGTCCAGTTCTCACCTTTAGTCCTCTCACCTCTCGTTTCCATTTCGCTCCGTTAACCTCCTACCCCGCACCCCCCTCCTGTCCACTTCTACTCCCCTGTCCCTTCTATCACCTCCCCGCTCTCCTCCCCAGGTCCCCTCCTGTCATCTCCAACCAAAAACAGAAAAAGCAGTGGGAGGAAGAAGGGTTGATGTAGGAAGAAAGGACATCAGCAGACGAGTATGAACTCCCTCTGAAGAGTCAGCATGGAAATAATTCATATTTGTGCTCCAGCGTCTCAAATACGCCACTCCTCTACCTCACTGTCCTTCTTTTCTTCACCTCATCTCTTTTTGACAGTCAAATCATCGCTTTCATGTCGCTCCCTCTGACTATATCTTGACACTTATGACTGTGTTTTTGCTACAGTCTTTGCCTTTAATCCGAATTTTGCCATTCTCACAGTTGTTTCCATTTGGCAAGAAGCTTCTGGTGAGGAGACAAAGTCTAAATAAGATAAAAATAAAAGTATTCCCTTCAACTGAGTGTCTATTTGTCACTTATTCAGACTGACTTGTGTAACGGGCAATTTATGAAGCGATTTAGCTCCTATTCTATTTGTCTTTTGCAAACTATCACATTTTTCAAAGAAAACTAAAACCTGTTTGTTTTTTTGCTGTCTGACAAAAAATATATACCGGTAATAAAAGTGTTTGTGAATATATTTACTAATACTACAGTAGCCACACCAATCTGAACATGCCAAGAGATCATTTTTTTCTCAATTTATGCTAAGATTATCTTAGCAACGTCACGAGGACGTAGCAAAAAAAAAAAAAAAGAAGTCTTTAACCAGCTAACAACCTGTTTGTCTTTTTGATGAATGTTTTGGTACATAATCTGTCAGAGATGAGAAACAAAATGTGCTGCARTTTTAATAAGCAGGTAATTTAGCAGAAAAGTTTAAAGTTCTTGTATCTCATCTTAAGGTTTCAAAATAATCATATTCTTGATCCATGAGACATTTGTGTAGAAGTCTCCTAAATGTCTCAAAACCTTCGTGTCAGTTCTCAATTTACTGTGAGAGTGAGAGCCCCCATTGAGATACCGGCTTTGTTTTTTAAACTGAAAATGAAAAAGGAAACAACTTATAACTACTACAATTATGTCTGAGGCTTTATACAGCCAAAATCAAACTGAGAAAATATTAACACAACAAATGAGACACGATGAAACAATTGTTTGTGGGTGATCTCCCCTGGAATCTTTACAAATTAAACCTTGTTTGGAAGCAAAGCCAGTTTCAAAATGTCATTTCACAGCCTTAATCACAGCCTAAGTCAACAGATGCATCACACCAAACCAACTGTTTACCCTTGTGGATAAAGTCAGACCCATATTTCCATTTGTCTCTAATTAAAATTCCAAAGGGGACTGCAATACATCTAAAACCTAAGTGAACAAAACATGATTAGCAAGTGAGCGTCACAAAGACCAGCAGTGCCGTGGATTACACGTTCAAATAAATYGCCCCCGTGGATGCTGTCCTTTAGCACACTCTGATAAGTGTGTCTGTGAGTGTCGCTCGTGTGTCGTGTGCTCACCGAGGAGTAGAGGTGACCCTCTCCGTTCATGGCGATGTAGAGACCGGTCTTCACCGACTGGATGGCCACGACTCTCAGACCCACAGGAATTAGGTTAAATAAAGCTGAGAACAAAGAAAGATGACAAACTGAGTTGGTATGTTTGGGTTATTTTAAGAGTTGCTCATTTAGTTTAGTTATTTGGTGAGCACCCTTCATGCAAATATTACAGCTGAATGTTCAGGTTTCAATCTATAAATCTGTTTTTTTAAAGTCTACTAATGGTCCTTTTAGGTTGTCTTGACAACAAGACAACATGCCTTGCTGACGTGGTTTGGTGGCAAAAATTGTGTTTTTCTACTTGTATCCAGTGCTGACACCTTGTCTCGAGACCCCAGTCAGAACTAGTTTCTCGTGAGCATGGAGTGATTGGTCAGAGATTTGTGGGTGTGGTTGTTTATGAACAGTGGCTGCAGGATGAGCAGTATCTGCTGAGGATCTGCTGGCTGAGGCTGTTAGAAAATACARCAATTATTACAACTATCAGAAACATCACATCTTCATCCCTCAACTTCTCCATCATCAACTGAAACTAAATAACCATCCTGCCGCAGCTAGAGCAAATGGACTCAATGTACAGGCTCTGAACAGCGATGCAAAAAGGTGGCCTCAACTCAGCCTTGGCATTTTTGGAAACGACGGCAGAGAATGGTGAGGGTTTTGTGTCTTTATTTCTCTTTTACTTCATCGGTGGTAGTGAGTTTCGAGTGGCAGTGCTATGATGACCCACCTTTATGAAGGCAACATTCCAATGCAAAATTACTGAGACCATGTAGTGCTGGGTCGAGTTAAGTTTTGGTGAAGCGACTCAAACCGAGATGTAACAACGGCTTTAGCTTTCCCTTCTAGGACGATAGCTTAGATCAGTGGTTCCCAACCTATTTTCCTCTTAGCTTCCCAGCCCCCGTCACATCCCTCGCTACTCCCCACCTCTACCAAAGACATGTTCTCAAACTTTATTTCTTTATCAAACTAATAAAAAATATTAGGGGTGCACAATATATCGGTATTGATATCGGTATCGGCCGATATTGGTCATTTTTTTAGAATATCGTATCGGTCCGATATGTAAAACTGGGCTGATATTAACGTCCGATATTGATTTCCCACTTTTTAKCTTTGTGTTTCTGTTTTGGGARGGGAGATGGTTGGTTGAGCGGCATCTGTTTGATCAAGATAGTGATAATGATSCTGCGCAGCCAGGAATAACTGACGTAGAGCCCTGTCAGAGGTCTGGTTGTTTATTTACGCTAACAAAAAAAGACCCAAGTGTGTTTGTGCATATACTGTATGTATAATATAATTTGTGTGTTTGTGTAATATCGGTAAATATCAGTTATCGGCCTTAATACCAATAATTATATCGGTAGCGGCTGAAATTTTCATATCGGTGCATCCTTAAAAAAATTAAGTGAATAGTTACAAACTTTTATTTGGAAAAGGAAAAAACTCTTTGTTTGACAGAGTTTAATTACTCAAATGTTCTTGTTTTTGGTGATAGTTACAAACAATAAATGGATGTTTTCACAACCTCTGTTCAGACAAGTGGTTGAGATGAACTGTTATGGCCTAAATTCAGTTCAACTGRGTCAGAGTTCTGTCACTTTAAAGGGGCCTGTCGGAGGCCTGAGGTCAAAGACAGTTTTCTTGTTTATTCTCCTTGAGGTGACCACTACACAAGTTATGAGGCCCCCCAGTGTTCTCTGGCCCCCCAGGTTGGGAACCACTGGTTTAGACATCTTTTTAAAAAGCAACAAAATCAAAAAGCTCTGATCCTTTATGATCCTTTTAGACACAATTATGTTCTCAGAAATTATGTAAAAATAGTTTGTCTAACTTATTAAACAATACCTTCTAATACTTTATTAGAAGGAATTAGACATTACATGTTTTAACTGATAACCAAGTTTGGGGGATCAGAACTTAAAGAAAATCCCTGGATCAGAACCATGAGAAAGTTTCAACAAARATGTTTATTTGACTGAGGTAACTGAACGTTTGACATTTTATTATCAGTCTATTTTTAAAGGCACCGTCCAGATCTCAGCTCCTTCGGGTCAGGTCTAAAGAGCAGCACTCAGTGATGGYAACAGAACAGACAGCTGATAACCTTGGACTGGTATTTTGAAAAGACAATGCTTTTGGCATTCACTATCTTGAAAGATACCGTCTTATATCGTATATATATTTGTTCCAGTGAGACTTTTTTCTTTACAGGACAAAAATGTTTATGTACAAATATAGTAGAGGACACCATCTGTTGAACATGAGTTTGTTCGCAAGATGAAGGTTAAAAAGGTGTGTGATGTTTGATGTTTTATGTTACACTTTTCAGGTTTTGCCAAAGTGCAACATAAAACATCAAAATTGCTCACTGTTTGCACTGATCCATACATTTAAAACTGAATTAGTACAGTGAAAGTTAATTGTTGGTTAGAAAGGTTTTCACATGATTTAGACTCGAGTTGGGCTTAAAAGGAACAAAAATATGTCCATTTCACTCTTTCATGTTGCTTGCACACAGGGAAGCAGTGAAACAAATAAGGAGGCTTTAAGTTCTCCTCAGTTGCTGGTAAAACTATCCTCCTCGCCCCTTTCTGTACAACGTGTTATTTTTTGTCTCCTTCTTATTCAGAGATTTTCACATCAATCTGAGAGGATGAGGTGGTGAGAACCCTCTCGGGAGAAAATCTTTGAAAAGCAACATTAGATTTAGTAGTCAAAATGTAACTGTCAGTTTGGCTGATGGATCCAATGAAGAGGAACTCTCAGCTTTTAAGTAAGTAAAGTTTTATTTATAAAGCGCCTTTCACAGAAATATATTCACAAGGTGCTGTACAATCATCATCAACAATGTAAAAATGGCGGAAAGAAAAAATAAAACTTAATAAAACATAATAGAACATAAATAAAACAAACAACATAGTGAACCATCAAAGCAAGAAGAATAAATTTTACACACAAATACGACAACTCGACTGTTTTATACTTCATTTTTAAGAATAAATGTGGTGGATTCTCAGTTATACACTCCCAACAAGTTATCTACAACATAAATACAGAAGCCCAAAAGCACAACAAGAAAAATTAATAACTCTTCAGTTGCACTTTTTTTTTGCTTTTATCGCCACCATGATTTTAAATCCCCTTTGTCTTTATATATCTTTATTATGGTCTTAATATTGGCTCTAATGCATAAGCAATACAACATAAGAAGCTTACAGTTAGTTTTTTTCTATACAGTGCTATAAATGTCTATTTTTATAATCTGATTTTTGTTTCTTTCTGTAAGGTAATAAAAATGGCCACCATTTGGAAAAAAAATACTCTTATTTATTCGATTTCCTCTTTAAGGCCCTTTTCACAATGCATGATGACCTCTCAGACAGAATGTGGGTGGTCTTGGCAGGGTCTTCAGGTGTGTATTAAGCCAGGTGGGGGTGCTTTACGCTCCATTTCTTGTGGTGTAGCAGCCAAATGCCCTGCTTGATTCCAGCAGCTAAACCACGTGACTGATGTGAACAAAACTAAGTTGTTGTACTGTCAAGATCAAAATGTGATGAATAAACTCAACGAATTGGCTTAATGTGATAAATTATAGTCTCTGTGATAAATAGCTGGTGATTTATGTTTGTTTATTTATCTATTTTATTTTATTGCTAATTTACACTGTCAGCTGTTGTCGCCCAATAACTTGAAATACCATTTGGGAGACAGTTATGGTGAAAAAGGTAAAAGTTTAGCCTTTTTGTAAAGCAAAATGTGTGCATTTCTGCTCAAATCTGATGGGAGCCTTAACAGTAATGTCTGCAGTTAAAACCATTTCAAGAGTATAAAAAAAGGACACAAACTGGTGATTAAAAAAATAGAGAAAATCCGATAAAAAGCCAGAGAAACTAAACCAAATATAAAACAGGAGATGTGTGCCAGATAGCTCGACCAATGTGGCAGTGACTGCWGCTCAGAATTTGATTTTCTTCAAAGCTTTGTTTAATAAAATTATGCTAAATGTCTTTTAGTGATTAACTTATCCATCTGCGGCTCCTCCTTGAGGGCTGTGTTTGAGTGTAGTGGTCCAATAAAACGTGCCATAAAAGCAGATTTTATAATAAATTACAAAACATAATTGACATTTGATTTATTCTTAGAAGTAACAAGTATGTAAAGTGCTTTTTCTTTTTTTTATAGAGGCATGGTTAAAGCAGACTTTGAAAGTGTAATAAACATAAAACATCATCCTATTATACGTGTGTGTGTGTGTGTGTGTGTGTGTGTGTGTGTGTGTGTGTGTGTGTGTGTGTGTGTGTGTGTGTGTTGTTGTTTTGTTTGTCCCTTACAGGAGTTGGTGCTGTCATCTTTGGTCCCGTCCAGACTTCCATCCTGGCCCATCTGGAGATAGAAGCCCTGCCTGCAGAACAACCTGGTCACGATGCCCTTCAGCTGTGGTTCTACAATGACAAAAAAGAAAAGAAAAGAAAAGAAAAACACAAGTTCATACAAACACTGATATTTCTAGAAGAGTGTGCAACACATCCTGTGTCCCTTTTATTTCAACAAGCGAGTCAAACCTAAATAGGACAAGATTTGAAATACGTTTTGGTGGTTTGAACAGAAGCTGGTAATTTATGCAGACTTGCCCACTGTGAACTCAGCTCCCGAAGGGCACCTTTGTTAGAGAAGATAGTTTTAAAAAAGTGTGATGTGACCTCGCGTAACCTCCCGCACCCTGAGGGATTTCCTTTGGAGAGTCTAGTCAAGCACATCCAATCCATTACAGGATTTCTGGACTAATCCGTCCTTCGTGGTCATTGTTCCACTTGAATAACGTTGATAAATTATTTCTGAAGCTTTGACGGTGAAGTGCAAGCCCCCACAGTTGCTTTGTGTTTACTCTGACTCCACATGATGGCACAATACATTGATTTGCAGGTACAGTACATCAAAATCCTAATGAGTATGTGAGATGATTTATCCACTGTTAAAGTTTGCTCTCTCTTTGTTAGTTTCATGGTATACTGTTGAACAACAAATTCTTTCAAAATCACAATTAAAAAACAGAATTTCAGAACATCCACCAATGAAAGTAGACAAAATGAAATTATCCTAACATATACTAGGATTTTGTTGGGTTTCTAGTATTTTGGTTTATTGTCAAGTTCTGTTTGTGTGTCTCAGTCCACTTAGGATTGGACTTGGTTTTGGGTTTGTTCATGACATGTAATTAAGAAGGCAATTAGAAGGCTTCATGTGTCAACAGTGTGTATGCACAAAAACTAATATGTACGCCATGTTCCACTCAAAAGTCAGGCTCTATTAAAATGAGCGTTACGTGAAAGTGTGCGTAAAAGTACGTTAACTTTTCACCTGCCATGAGAATGTGCCTAACTCCAAGTAAACTGTTTCAGTCAATAGTATCAAACATCAAAGTTCTGAAACTCAGCTACGGTAAATACAATCAAAATGACTTTATTCAGTTTCCTGAATTGAAGGTCTATTTAGACATGATGTGTTYTCATGAATTTGARCATTTTTGTTTTTTAAGCCCAGTGATGAAACGGGAACACATTTAACCTCATACAGTAACAGCATGCCTCAAAAGTGATCGAAACCCATTGGTGACTGCACGATTGTGAGGCGCCAACAGATGAGGCACATAAAATACATATGAACTGATAAGGGGCATGTCCATCCCAGCATATTATTTCAGAAAAAAATCATGGGTGATGGTTCCTAAAGTGGATATGGTGAAGACATGACCATAAATAGATGCATAAAGTTGTGTGTAATTGGGGTTCAGTGGCGCAGGGGGTAAGCACTGTGTACAATGCATGGGGCGCTGCACTGGAGTGGGCGCCAAAGCGATGCTGGAAAATTATTTCTATTTGTGCATTTGTGATAATAATACACATGCATTTGTTATGATCAATAACAGAGGATCTGCACTGATTAAAGGTGAGTTATAGTTGCGCTTTGGGTACTTGCGCAGGGCATGTGTGCACCCTCACCAATGGTGGAGTTATTTATAACTGGTGCTTACGCTGTAGATTTCTCCAAAAGGACACATGGCACTACACTTTATAACTTGTGAAAATGTAAGTAGGACAGAAAAAGCTTGACAGACAAACTACTTGAACGGTGCGCGGCACACGCAGCCTTTGCGAAGTTACAAAAATTCGGAAGTGCATGACCACGCACAGGGACAACACGCAGGGCCAATGCACAGTGAGGGGACGGCGCGATGGAGTCACTATTGGCACACTCCCCTTCGCACCTGGCGTGACGCGGCGTCAACTATAAACCTAGCTTCAGGTGCCCCTCTGCTCCTTCTCCTCCCCTCCTGTCTCTCCCTCCCACACACACTAAGAGCACTTGAGCATGTGCCCCTTCAAGAACGCGCTCTGTAGTTTTTTTTTATTTATTTATTTATTTATTTATTTATTTATTTTCTTTCATTTGAATCGAGGCACACCTGACAACATGGAGTTAAAGATGAAGGGGCAGAAAAGAAAGCTCTCCCGGGCACAAAACAGAAAACATGAATGGAACACCASGCTGCACTTTCATTAACAAAACCCCTAAAAACAAGCAACCAAAGATRAAACTGAAGTTGGTTTATGATTCCAGCCTCCAATTCGAGAAATGGCTAAAGGGCGATTCCAGCTCATTTTTCACTACCTTGAGCATCTTCTGCTGTAGTATAAAAATACTCTTCAAACCCAGATTAGATTATTCAACATTAATAGCAGTATATTTAAAACCTAGTGTGTGATTTGTGAAACCGTTTCTGGATTTGTTAAGCTGCAATAAAGRGTGATTACAGCACTTTTTATGCATCTGGACAAGTGTGTATGTTTCATTGAGACAAATGCGAGTTTTTTTTACTTTATATAACTGATGTTTTGCATTTTATTTTATTTAAAAGTTAGAGAAAAAACAGTGTTTAGTGCAAACGGCATAAGTTAACACGTATAGTGTGTATGTTTGTGTGTGTGGTGTCCACATACACCTCAGAAAGTATGTAGTTGTGCTCCTGTTGGGGTTCCTTATAACTAGAGCCTTGCAGAAAGGCCATGCCATGCCAACCGTACGGGCGGCCTCATCCTTATGATGCATTGATTAGTAAAATGAAACACTCCACAAATAAATGATCACATTTATGTTTGGCCTATTAGCCTTTCATTACTTCTCCAGGTGTGTGCTGCTTCCTACACAACACTCCTCTTTGTGCATGGCAGCTTTTACGCCACACAACCTTATTTATGAGCATCTCTGACTCGCATTCCAAGAAACTCCTAATTTTTCTGCACCTCGACATAATTTCTGATTGTGCAGGGAGGAGAATCACACACTGCAGGATGCATTTGCATCTATTTGTGTATTTAACTGGAGGGTGTCAGGGGAGGTTTCTGATGTGTGCTCAGTTCAACAAATGCAGAAATATCCATGTGCACGATATGATGAATCTGAGTACTTTTATGTGTTTGCACTTTTTCCAGTTTGGTCCATATGTGATCCATCACATTGAAATGAGGATTAAGTCCAAAAGTGGTGTATGGAGAAATAGGCAAATATAGTGTTTTGACTAAAATGTTAACAAAAATTGCATTTTGTCAAAATATAATGAATAAATGTCTTATCAATGTATCATTTGAATGAACTGTCTGAAATATAATCATAAAACAAACTTAAAAGCCTCCAAATGCTTTTCCCTTCAGCAAATTGTTGTGTTTATAAAGAGTTCATCTGGTCCCAAATGAGGCAGTGGTCATGTCCCTCTAGTGGTCTGGCTTAGTTACTGTTTGCAATCGATCTTTTCGGTGTTCCATGCATAATGTCTGTTATTTTGACAGGTAAAAGTACTGTACTTGTGAATTTGATTCGTACTTGTAAATTTGATTCGTACTTGTAATGTGGCAAAGTTGTAACAAATTTATGTACGTTTATAGACTTACATGTGCAAATTTAGACTCTTACACAGACAATCATTCTGACAGTTCTCTTACCCGATAAAAAACCCTTTAAAATTGTGAGATTTTCCCTGTGAGCTAGCAAAGTTTTGTTTCTTTTTAGCTGGGAAATCTCAATATTCAAATATAATTTGAGGTTTCCTCTTTATAAGGGCATCAAAAATTCCTCATTAAAATGACACGAAATTAGGATTCAGCCCAAATATTTATGTATTGTTGAAACCAACAAGACAAATTAAGTCATATACATGGCTTTACTTATGATATCAGAATGATCCAGGTATCAAAATGTAGCTTTTAAAGTCAGGAATCTGAAAATGTAATTAGGTCATTTTGACCAAATTTGACTTAATCCTCATTTCGATATGATGGGTCACATGTCATCTTTCAGTATAAAAACTGTGCACTCTTTGATACACRAGTAACCTGGTCTTTTGTCCTATGATGTCAGGAGTTGTGCAAAATGTATGCAGTTGATCAGACAAAATCTGCAACTTTTTGATTTTTATACTGTATTTGTGACACATCACATCAAACCAATGATTAAGCCAAGAGGCAGTTATAGTGTGTTGGTTGAAGGTGAGCGTGTCTTGTCGTTTTTTGCAAAATATCTCATGAACCACTGGAAAGATTTCATTGAAATATGCACAAAGTAATTATTGGTGTTTAAGTCTATAACTGATCAACCAACTGAATTCAAGATGGCCGCCACAGTCAACTGATCTTAGAAAACACAAAAGCAGCTCTGTAGATTCTCACAGATATTGTGCGACATGCATGTCTTCAAGGAATCCTAGGCTACTTATTTATACAGTATTTGCTTTGACCATTCAGTTCCAGCCTTTTCTGATTTGGTATTCTATTGTTTTGTCTTTCTGAATAAAAAAAAGTCAATTATATAAAGTTGTTTGTTCAACGAACAAAGAGATGTTTGGTGTTTTGCTACTGGCCACAGAGGATTTATTTTTCATGCCAATTGATCATCTTTTCCAAACTTGGCCGTTTTGTGGTTTAAAAAATTTTGAGAAGCCAAGGGCCTCGTGTTAGGCTCAGTAGACACTTAACCTAAAATCTCCAGGAGAAACCAAGTGAGAAATCCTCCAASACTGCAGCAGGCGGGTGAGTCAGTGTAAAGGGCACCTTGAGTGTATCTTGGTGATGCTCGGACCAAACAGCAGGATTTGAAACCCTCAGTATGGGAGACGATTCATTATTTCACAATACTCAAAGCAAGATACAGGTAGAAGGTTTAAAATAATAATAAAAGATATAGATTCTTTAATGTAGATCAATCGTTAATGAAAGAATCCTATTAGTTCTAATGTAAATCTAACGTTAAATAAATAAAACTAAACAACCAAACCTACACCTGACCAGAATAAGGACAGAAAACAAAAACGACAGCTGAAATAAATCTGATCCCATCCTGACTCGTGCTCTAAAAGGCTGAACAAACCAGTCATTTAATATGACCTGTCTCT